TGCCAGATTTTTGAGAATTCCAGAATTTTGAATGCCAGATTTATAAGGTTATTCTGTATGTACTTCAATTCTGATATGATATATATTTATGTTTGTAAGGCTCCTGGGATTGTATTTATTGTACAGTTTAAACATTAATTGCATGATCAATTGCAACATGGCACACATTCAAATAATTTATCTACTGATAAAAATGGTAAACTAGCCACAAAAATGGTGAACAAGCATCAAAGATGTTATTTGTTAAATGTGGAATATCTTCTGTGGCTGATTTGTATCACACTTCAATTTGAATATGATGTTACAAATTGAATACTAGGGCTTAGTAGGTCCTCCAGCATTCCAGGGTTCCTTTCTCCTTGCTCCTTCTCCACCTGTGTGTGAACTGGGACTTTGCTTGCAACCCCAGGTTCTGCACTGAGACCCTGACTGGTTCCAGAGCAGCAACCAAGGCTGTCAAACATAGCCCACAGCCACCCTCAAGTAGGACAAGGCATACTTTCTACTCTCTCACTCCTGTGGGCAAAGCAGGGATGCAGTTGAAGCCCCAGCTGCTGTCCTGAATCCAGAACTGGTTCTTCTCCCTGGTTCCGTGTAAGGGGAATGTCCTTCCCTCCCATTGCACAGAACCAGGGTGACAGCTGTGCATGAAGGAAGAGAAAGAGCCAGCATACCTTAATCCATTATTGAGCTTCAGTGGCTCTTTCCCTGGCCCCTTGCATCCCAGTTCTGTGAAAGAGGTGAGAGGTTGTTCTATTGTTCTTCTACAGTGTTTGTCACATCTGAGTTTTTTCTAATATTCTTTTCAATCTCACCTCAGATAACTGCTTGATCAAACTAACAAAATACCATAATTGCTTACTATAGTCCTGAATAGTCTCTGAAAGGTATTACCAGACTTAGTTGAATCTAAGATGACCCTGAACTTAAGATAACCTCCTCAGTAATTGCATTCTACACATGAAAGATTTATACATTTATTATAATTTCCCATGTATAGAATCTAATCATTGGAAGGCCATCTTTAACAAATCCTCGCCACCACTGCAGGTGGTCAGGCAATGGGTGGGGAAAGGTGGTTTTGTGGGGGATAAGCAGCTTTCCACCTGCTTGGGACTCCCCCTGCCACCTCTGTCCCATGCCTGCCCCACCCCTGCCTCTGCCTCCTTCTTTCCCCCAGCCTCTCCTCTCCCTCCTCTCCCAGGCTTTGTTCCCTAGTTCCCCCTACAGCCTCTTCTTCCATCTCCTCTCCAGCCTCTGCTCCATGTGAGCAGGGTCTATCCCCATTCTAGCCTGGTGCACTTAGCATGGCCCCAGTTTAGCCCCTGTATCAGCTATGCAGTCTGGACACCACTCTTACAGGTTCAGATGGGGGCTGTGTTCAGTTACCCAGGCTTCAGCATGGAAGAAGCCTGCTAGCCTGGAGCAAGGATAAATTGATGGGGTGGGCAGGAGAGAAGCAGGTGTGAGAGTAGAGACTGCATAGGAAGGGGCAATGGCAGTGTGGAGCTGAGCAGCTGAGACTATGGCGCACGTTAGGTAGCGGCTGGAGCCAAAGCCACAGCAGCCACCTGTACACATCCTCCTTATACTTGATTTTAAGACCAGGGTCTTTTTCTCACATGTTAAATGGGGGAGAACCTCATCTTAGAACTGAGTCAGTACAATTTTCTAATGAATATATGTCATCAGTTAATTGTTGGAGTTCTCTTGTTGACTGTGTCTAGTCCTCATTTAGATTATAAGAACACATAGTAACTATGCCATCTAAGACAGGTGTTCTGCAAATTTATTCACAAACCTGTACCAAAGCATTCCTGGTCCTGGAGAAGAAACTGCAGATTGTCTGAAGTGCAAGCTGCTTGTGTCCAGGGTACTTATTTCCACTTAATACTTGTGGCCTTTGGAATCCACATATTTAAAGATATAAAATTAATTAACTAATTAACCTGTCTCCATTTGAAACAATAAATCTCGTTTCATTCTTTTATTGTGATGTATGTCAAATTGTGGCAAGCGTTTATATATAATCTCTTCATTGCAGAGAAAGTAAGATTTTGTGAGGAACCACAGGCCGTTCTCAATGCCAGTATCATCAGTGAAATTCAGGAGCTATATGAGCATGGTACCATAATGGAATACCAATGTAACCTCAGATTTAAAATGATTGGATCAAGCAAAATAGAATGCATTGATGGAAAATGGTCTCCTTCACCTTCTTGCACTGGTAAATTATACATTGTTCTCACCTTTAGGATTGCCATGGACTAGTACTTCATTTACATTCCTAGAGATTTTTCACAAACAGTTTTCAGTATCAGTGCCCTCAAGGGAATGGAAAACGGCCTACCCAAGTGTTTTGGATAGCCTTGTCACCAAACTGATTATGTGCAAAAAATGATATAAGAGTTGAAGGACAAACCAATATAGGCAGGAACAGCTGGAAGTCATGAAGAAGACTATTGGAAAAATCCCCATAAGGAGGAATTTAATAAAGAGATGGGAAAATGCACAGGATATGGGAAGGGAATATTATTTTTTGGTGTAGCATGAAATGAAGTACAAAGCTAGGAATAGAAAAGGAGACTCAAGAATAATTTGTCAGAAAGGCAAACATGTTTCTCTACTCTGAAAGAGTAATCCTGCATGATGCTGTCAGTAGGAGTTTTGGTGCTACATTTAATGGAAACACGATTAAGCCCTAAAGGGCTATTTTAACTTATGTATGTGATAGGTCTTATATGTAACATGTGCTTTCTTATGTATGCTTTTTTCCACAGAGGAGGTAAAAATCTGTGGACCACCACCTGTTATTCCTAATGGGTCTTCTCTCCATACAGACCAGACTGAGTATTTTCATGGGGATTCAGTGGCATATGGATGTGAAACGAACTTTGAAATCTGGGGCACTAGGGAAGCAAAATGTCTTAGTGGAGAATGGACCCCTTTACCTTTATGTGCTGGTAAACTCCATTGAGATGTTGATTTTGAGTGACATTAAAATAATTTTATATAAGAATTTAGGAATTGTATTTATCAATATTTAAGCAGATACAAGGTATGTGGCTATTTTTAAAATGCCTCTTTACAAAACATAGCTGAAACATTGTTTTTGTGCTGATGTGTATTGATTTTTTTGTGTTAGAAGGTGCTGACAGACATACAGCTCCCCACTGTAACTCATGGCACTTTGCAGGAAGTGCCATGAGTTACAGCAAACCCTGCCTCCGCCCAAGCCCGACAGATGTTCACTGTTGGGCTCTGGGGGTTGGGGAATCGAGCTGCAGTTTGGAGCACCTGCAAGTCTGTAGCCTCTCTCCCTCAGCCCCACCACTTCTCCATCTCAATCCTGACTCTGTCTTCGGAAGGGGAGGCAGGAAAGGAACAAAGGGTGCTTTGTCTGGGGTTTGAAAAAACTTTGCTGGATTGGAGCCCTGCAGAAGGAACTCCCTCTGCTCCCTTCCCTTCTCCCGTTTTGAACACAGCACTGGGAGCAGAGCTGGGATATGTCAGCCCAGCCCTGCTCCTGGTGCAAGCTGACATGAGTTAATGAAGGTGCTCTGCTTTGGAACACTTTCATCTGAACACACATGTTATGGGGATTCAGACTGTTGTGGGTTGGGGCCCTTTTAAAACAGTCTGCTGCCACGTGCTTCTGTAAGGGCATGGCTGCAGAGTGCTTCAGAGGATCGATCATGTGACAAAATGTCACCTGTGTGAACAGCCCAGAAACTTCATGAACTTTTAAAAAGTTCCCCTGAAATTGATGGGCAGTGGCATTGTGTGCAAAGCCAAGGCATAGGGATAAATCTTTGCAGCATTGTGGCCTTTAGCAGGATTTGTTTGATTTCGTATTTCAGGATGTGTTTCCAAAAAAAACAGATTAGGAAGGTTTGGAATGTAATAAAGTTTATTGTGCACTATACTAATTACTTGCATTAACTTGCTTAGATGACAGTTGACTTTTCAAAACCTTTATAGGATTTTTCCATCCATTTTTGAAGCCAGGATATAAGGAGTAAATCCCACCATCATCTCATTTTTGGACCATAGTTTTTTGTCTTCTTTCCTTAATTCTTCTGTTTAGTTTCACTGGATAACAGAAAATAGCCAACAGCATCTGAAAACTGGAAATGTTGTGTTTTATTTTTTTTCACCCTAAAATAAGCTGCTGTTTTTGCAAAAAAAGAAAAGCATAAAAAGGGGTGTGGGGATTAAAATCAGTTACATTCAAGATGCATGCCAGAGCAAGAGTCTCATCTGATGTAAGTTATCTCATAGCTGAGAATCTCCCTCCATGCATATGCAATGGGTGCATGTACATGTGTGTATTACTGAACTTGAATAAACTCTTGAGCTTATCACTCCAGAGTTTATTCAAGCTAGGCATGCATCTGCACGTGACCCCAGGAATGCAGCATGTGGAGCTGGATTTGTGCAACCCTAGCTGGTAGGGGTCCCAGGGACAGCCTACCATCCCAGGGCTGTTCCACCTGGCTCTGTGTGTCACAGAGAGGCTGGTTGGGACACAAGGGTGCTTTAGTGTGGGGCTCACTGGCAGGCAGCCCCTGCACTGAAGCATCCTCATGTCCCAGTCAGCTGGGCAGCAACTACACATGTGCTGCTGAGGAGTTTTTTTACTCCACAGAAAGATAGTACTTGTATTTACAAGTACTATCCTGCTGCAGAGTAAATTCGTTTACTCTAGCCTAATAGCTGTGCATGGGTAGATGCGAGATGTTTACTGCCATAGGTAATGCACCCCCGCTGATAGCAAGTGCTTCAGCTGGTAGGGGAGCATGGAGATCACTAGTGCCCCCCCTGAAATTGGCCCCACTGACACCGTGCTGCATGTGGAAGTGCTGGCACTTCCGCTGTTCCCATGCCGCTGGCATGCTTGGCGAGACTGGCCACTGGGGGACCTCTTCCCCGATTGCTGGCTAGCTGGTGGGGGATTTCCCCACCCCCGGTCGCCAGCTGACTGTTGGGGAACCCTGCCCCCAGTCGTGCCCTGTTGGTGCCCCACCAGACTCGGGAAGCACCACTCACCCATGTTTACTGCGCAGCTATTTAGTCAACTGCTCCATAAACGTCTCATGTAGATTAACCCATTTTGTTAACTTGAAGGGTTATGCTGCTGAACAAGAGTTTCATATGCTTTCACTACTGTTGTCCCCCTTTCATCAGAAAAAAACCCCTTATATTTATCCATAGTTTGTAAGTTTTTGTAAATTCATCTTCTACTACTTTGAACACTGCATATGCCACATGAGCATAGTTAGATGAATTTAGTTATTACAGAATCTTTTATTAGAAATCTCTGAAAATACTGATTGGGGGTAGATAAACCTAGACTTTGGAGGTCTGTAAGACAAGCATCTGGCTGGGGTCACCTGATCCCAACATTCTTTCTTGCCCAGGGCAGGGGGTCAGATTTGATGATCTTCTGAGGTCCCTTCGAACGCTAAAAGTCGATGAAATCTATCAATATATCAGCTTTAAATCATGTATGCTTCTCTGGGAGACTGATTAAAAAAGTCTTCTTGCTGGGGGAAACATGCAGCACTCATAGTTCTAAAAGCTTGATGAGGATGCCTGCTTTTGTACTTCTTACTTTACAGTTGGTGTGATAAGATAGAAAAAAATTCTGTTATTGCATACAGTAAATGGGACACTGTTAACTTACAACAAAATAACGCTATCCTATCTACAAAAAATTTATGGCTACAAGTTTATCCTATCTACAAAAAGTTTATTGCTACAAGTATTCAAATAAGAATATTAAAAAAAAATGTCTCGCATCTCTCTTTTTCTGGAATCCTTGGAAATGCTTGTTGCAACAGTAGATACAAAATTTTCACATGGGTGTGCATTCCAAAGTTGACAGAATTTTGTGAAGAGATTCGTAGTTAATAAATTATATAATGTCTAGAATATTTTAAATCTTGTGTTTGGTTTTCATTCAGATAAATCTGCTCAATGTGCAGTTCCAAGTAGTTCTGAGGCTATCTACCTTACGCCATATAAACCCAGCTCAGCAGAAAAGATTAACTTTGGCACAGTTCTAAAATATAGGTGCAAAACGGATGTCAAAAACCCTAAGGAATCCACTTGTGTGTCTGGCAAATGGTTACCCGAAATTGAATGCAAACCTAAAGGTAAGCTTTTGCATTCATATGCAAATTTGTCATGCAAATGGTTAAAGTGTTGGAGTAAATGAAGTTTACTGGTTTGAAATGCTACTAGTTTAATCATCAAAACCTAAACTGTGTATATGCTAAAGAGTAGAATGTATAGTCTGTTCCTTTAAAATTACAGAGATCATTTATATTAGGGTCATGGTGTTATTGTATGGTCCAGGGAATAGGAAAAAACAAGGTTTATTTGGTAATTTTTTATTGGAACAAGCACTTACTGGACTTAGTTTATCCAGTAAAATATAATACCAAACAAACTTGACTGCACAAATCATTTGATGTTTGAACAACTGTCTAATGTGAAAATCAGGCTTAACCCAGCACATCCTCTAAAAACCACCATTGCTTAGGAAAAATAAGTCCCTCTGCTTATACTAGTAAAATATTCTGATAAATAATCCAGGTACTCAAAAATCAGCAAATCTATCCAGCTGGGACAACACATGGAGAAAAGAACACCATAGTTCTCTTAATTCTTCTCAAATGTGAACATCGTTGTTTTCCTGGGGACAGCAAAAACTTTTCTCCCTACATTGCAAGCAATAGATTAAAAAAAATACCTGTGATTTCATTGTAGACAAGATTAGAATTAATTAATCGATGTTCTGTTTTCAGGTAGTTTTTATTTCTCCAGAAATTAGAGAAGGGTGGCTGTCTCTCCTATGCTGCTCCTTCCTCCTTCCCAGAAAGCAGGACAGAAGCTATCTGATTCAAACTATCTATAGGACATGAGTGAGAACTGGGGAAAAGAAAGGAATAGGAGCAGAAAATGGGCTGGTTGAACAAAGAAACTGAAGATAAGGGGAATGGAAATAGGAGAGATGAATGGAGGTTCAGAAAGTTGATTGCACAAGTAGATGAGAATGGGAAGCTGAAACTAGCTGGGGAAGGAGAGTGCATGGTAATGAAGGAAAGAATAGGCCTGAGAGTAAGGCAAGGGAGATACTGGGAGAAGAGATGAGAAGATGGAGGAGTGGAAATTTGTAGCAATACAGAAAGACAGGACTGGGATAGAGACAGGATGGAGGGACAAGCAATTGGGGAGTGGAAAGAAAGGTCCTATCTCTAGAAGATTTCACTTGCAACCTCAATAGTCCTTTGACCTCTCTTTCATTTCATTGTTAAACATACATTTTATACGTATAAGTTTAGATAACATCCACTGAAGAATAGAAACTTTCTTCAGCTCTCATGATAGAGAAAATAATGTGGGCCACTGAACACACCTCATTCCTTTAGAAAGAAGAGAAAATCTTATTTTCACCCCATCCCACCCATGCTGCATTTCCCCTTCTCTTTCTTAATTGTTGTGCAATGAGGTCTTTGTGTACCTAAACTCTATGCTAGGCAGAGGGAATGGATGCCATCACATATATCTCTTACCCATGCAGCTCACCAAGGAAGGGGTTGGATATGCCCCTTAAGGCATCTGGATATATAGTTTTGGCTGCAATCGAGATTTTACTACTGTTTAGTCTTTAGTATGCTTTTACCATTGGGCTGAAAGAAGAATTGTTCATCAAGGGATGCTGTTATGGAAGTCTTTATTTGTATTTCATACAATTGGAATTCACTTTGACTGAAAATGCAATTCAGTTGTTTGGGGCAATACTGTGTGGTCATGATGTAATGAAAAGTTGGCAATGGCTACAGAAGTAAGGGCATAAACACACATGACATTTAAAATGATTTAAATGCAGCTTATACCTGAAGCAGACAGACATACGAGCCTGTTAAATAGGTGTAAGCTGCCTTCAATGGCTCAGAAATGTACATGGAAAAGTCAAGTACTATTTGAACTGGTTCACTGAGCTGGTTCAATGTTTTATATGGACGCTGGGTGTTCCATGATCTGGGCTGGATAGGTCATCTAGGCATCACACACTGCTCTGCTCCTCTCTTCACCCCCTCCCACCCTCATCGCTGCAACTGGCTGCTTTAGTACCTAGCCAGAGCTTTACTGACCTCTTTTATCCTTACCTTTTCTTGGCACTTTATCAGTGAAACCCCTTGCACTGCTTTCTCAATAAAAATATCTTTCTAACAACCAGTCATGGCCTCACTCCCTACTTGATCACAGCCCCTCAGTCATAAGCCACCCAACCCCTGCTATCCCCAAAGCATCAGTGCATTGCCCACCAACTTTGTCCACTGCAATGCATGTGTGTGTCCCTTTAGCTCACTCCCATGCCCTAATATAGGAGCCAGTGCACTTCACACAGTTGTGGCCCAGTTCCTAATCTGTGATATTTTTAACAGTTCTCTTGTAATGGCCATTAAGTGTTTTATCTAATATTAACTATCCTCTTTTGTAATGATCTTTCACATGTATCATATTTTATAAGACATCTAACCCATTTTATCTTTTCTGAAGAGATTAAAAAGCAATGCCCACCTCCACCTCAGGTCCCAGGTGCATTGAAGGTAACAGAGATGAGAAACTATGAGAGTGGTGAAGAAATAGCTTTCCAGTGTTTGGAAAATTTTGAAGCTTCTCCTAGCATGGACAAAATCTTATGTGAAGATGGGAAATGGCAGTCACCACCACGCTGTGTTGGTTAGTATGACAGCTTATCTGTACTTCTTTAAAGGGTTTTATTATTTTCTTTTTTAACTGCACTCGATCAGAAGAAGTGTGCAAACAGTGGCAGTAACAAGACAATTGTTAAATCATTGTTGTGCCCGTGCATACAGAAGTTAGCAGTTTGTTTTAATATTGGACACAACAAATTGCTCTGCAGTGAAGTAATAAAAAATGAAGTAATAACAACTTGATAGTTATGTGTGAACCAACTTCTGTAGAGTTTGTTAATAATGGGTTATAATTAGCTAGAGCCTGAAAAGTGGGATTAGTTGTGGAAGGCAAAACATCTAATCTGATAAAAGTACATAATAATTACTTCTCCCAGTGAGTGAAATAAGCACCTTAAAAAGATGTTAGGCAGTGAGCATTTAATACTTGGACATATTCAGTCCTAATGCCAGTCACAAGTGCACTCTGTCAGGATTAGTCGTCATGTATTTGTATAGCATTAAGCATAACATGTCTCAATATTTGGAGATACTGTAGTTCAGATTAATAGGCTTTATAATAATTATGGCTAGATTATTTTTGTTTCTTTTCTAATATAATATTTCTTCTCTCTGAGCAATTTCTTTGACTACCTCTCTCTCTCTCTCTCTCTCTCTTTCTCTCTCTCCCCTTTCCTAGATTCTCCGGTTATTTCCCACCTTTTCAGGGAGCTGTTTTTGTTAAGTGGCAAAGCGTTTATAATGCCTCGTACAGTTGCACAATTGTGAATTGCTCTGGAATTCTGCCAGTGTTATCCCCTGCATTGGCCCAGATGTTAAGGAGTATCATTCAAATTGGGAAGTGAAAAATGCCTGAATTTGAAGTTAGCCAAAACCGTTTAACCACTTTAGCCTTTTCTTTAGAGTTTTTAAAAATCTTGTATAAATGCTGCTTAGCTAGAAAAAAACATTGACATTTCTGCTAGCAAGCAGTGGACAAGAAAATCAATTCTAAGCAAGTTACTTGATTCTTCAAAAGATAAACATTAAAAATGATGGAGGTTGTAGGTTTCAGGAGATTTGTATTAGGAAAAAAAATAGATACTTATAGTGAGAGACTTTGTGCTGGTGTATTCATTCTTAGTTCATTATTCCCTGTTTCTGTGGAACTCGTTCTGTCTTCTATTCTCTGCTAGTGAATCCAACTCAAATTCTAACCCTAACCTCATTATTCTTACCATATAGTTCAGTTTTGGAGTAATTATCATTCTCTAGTTTCTTTACAACATTTAAAGGTGAGAATAAAACATGGATGCATCTAGAATTATATTGCTTATATTTTCCATTTCTGTTAACATATTCATATTTATACTACTAGGTCCCATGATCCTAGCATAACATTATGTGAGAAATTTAGATTTCTTCCTTTATTATCCTGATTCTGTACAGAGCTGTGAATGGTTTTAAATCTCTCTCTCTCTCTCTTTCTCTTTCAATTGTTAAACCTAGTACAACTAAATAAACCTAGTGTAGTGCATCAACTCATTTCAGTTGGTAATTAATTGCTACCTAAAAAGGAATATACAAAATATTTTCACTGAAATCTGTAGTTTGGTGTACCATTAGAAATGAAAAGTTCTTTAGGCCTGCATTGGAGCATACTGACATGACTCAGGAGGACTTGGCAAATAAGTGAATTTTTAATCCTTTGTATATCTGAGGTACATGTACACCATAATATTTCTAACTCTTTCTGAAAAACAATGAAAGTATCTATATGAAGATGATCCTTGAGCACCAGTTCACAAAATCCTTCAGGATGCTGGTTCAACTTAACCAATGCTTGAAAATGTTAGCACAGTAAAAGCTTTGTTATCCAGCATGAGTGGGGAGCAGGGGGTACCAGTAATCTAAAAATGCCGGTTACCTAAGGCAGGGGTTTTCATCTGGACACGGGGTGGGGGGAGGGGGTGCCGTGTCACTGACCGCATATGAAGTGGCAGCAGCACAAGGTGGTGGATGGTGATGATCACGTGTGAGCTTCCCCCTCCTTTCCCCTCTCCCCCTCCTCCCCCCAGAGTCTGGCTGGCCAGAAATACTGGTTAATAGAGTGTGCCGGTTACTAAAATGCCGGTTAACTCAGCTTTTACTGTACTATTCCATTCCATTCTCATGACTGTTAACAGAACAATTGTAATTGTCTTCTTGAGTGATTGGCCCTAGTCATTAGCATTTGATGCATTACATTAGTGTAATGGGATTTGCCTGTTCACTGTCATTTGAAGCAAGTAATATCACAAATTTAGAATAAGTCTCCTTATTCTTCCATAGTCTTAAAAATGATGGCAATTTGTTTACATTTCACTTTGCTTTTATATATTCCACAATGTTAGTCTTGATGTGGATGTGATGGATTAATGGTAACACTGTTCATTTCTCTTTTGTAAATAGAAATAAATGCATGTGGGCTACCACCCCCCCTGGAAAATGGTAAGCTCAAACAAGAGCATCAGAATCTAGGCGTGGAGCAATCAGGACCAGTAACTTATCCAAATGGCACTGTATTAGAGTATACTTGTCACACTGGCTTTGTGTTAAAAGGAAGATCAAAGATTACTTGTAGTATGGGAACATGGACTGAAGGCCCAACTTGTGATGGTAATTTGACAATGTAATGTTTTCAGTGGTACGCCACTTAGTGGAGAAATCAACTATTTTAAACTAGAAGCTAAATTTTAAAATGGTAACTCCTCACTTATTGATGGTCTTTAGAAAAACACTTGCTGAAGACTTAATTTTTTTAATACCATAGATTTGTGTAGACTTATGTCACATCTGGGTTATTTGAGGGAGATGCTTTAGGAAAATACTGATTGAGTGAAGTCCTTACATTTTTTAAAGGAGGTTTGGCTTTTAAAACACATTTGCAAAGTAGGATTCCAAGGATATGGATTTCCTAACCTCACTTTGCCATGAAATGTGTGTGAGACTTTGGGCAAGGACCTTAAATCTGTTCTTTGATAGTTCATCCTTAAATGAGGATAAGAGCAATTCCTTGCCTCTACAAGGCTGTATGAATATAAATCAGTCACTTCTGGCAGGCTGCTTTGCTCTGATAATGAAGACACCTATGAGAATGCCTGAACACTGAGGAATAGTTATGCTGATAAAACAGACATTCTCTTGCATAAGAGGTCCGAGGCAGAGAAGTGACTGCAAATACAAGCCTTGCTGGGGGGTAGGGGAGCCGTAGAAACTAAATTGCTTCAACAACCATCCCCTTGGTTCAAGACTTAGGGTCTTGGTTAATTTAAATATCCATAGGTTGGACTTTATTTAGATTAGCTGTCATGGGTATCCATACACCATGCTACAAAATCTTTAATTAAATAAACTTATAACTTTTAACTGTGACAGGGTTATTTTTACATGGTATGGTGGATATTTTACCGGACATTTTTAATTTATATTAACCTGTTGTGTGTACCTTTTTAGAAGTGCCATGTGGAAAAGTTCCAAGTGTTCGTCATAGTCTCCCAAGACCCGGAACAAAGAATTATTATAAGACTGGTGAAACAGTACGTTATGAATGCAAACAAGGTTTTAGTATTCGTGGAGAACAGAACATCATATGTCAGGCAGGAAACTGGACTAAGCCACCTACATGTGAAGGTATGGCATGCAATTTATGTCAATAACCTAATCTTTTATTATTCTAGACACTAAAATATTATAATGAGTTGCCAGATGGGGAGGGCCAATGAGTGATCTACACTTACTTAAAATAGCCCCTCTCTAAGCGTTAATGCTTTTGCTGAGGAGGAATGATGCAGTGAGAGAGATGTTCTGTCCTCTGTCTGTGACTTAGGCCCACTCTGTGCTCCAAAGTTTTGCCAGTTTGCATGTCATTCTAGAGGCCTGGTTCTGCAGTCCTTTTACTAAAAATGTGTTTTATGTGGGGAGGGGCATGGAATAAGGGCCTTGTTTCCTTTTTCTTCCTGTTGAAAGTTTGTCTCATAACTTTTGTTTTGCAAGTGTATTGTGGGTCATATTATGTTTCCTGAAACTAAGATTTTGTTTGGTTGTTTTTCTCTATTGACACATTCATGTATGTCTCCCCTTCCAGATGTAACATGTGGACCTCCACCTCAAGTCGCCAATGCTGATTTTGTAAGCAGTAGACCTCAGAGGTTTGCACCAGGAGCCAAAGTACAGTACAGATGTCACTCAAATTTTCAGCTTGTAGGATCAAATGAGGTCACTTGTGAAAACAGACAATGGTCACAAGCACCAATATGCCAAGGTAGGAGTTTGTGTTTTTAGTCAAAACAAGTAAAACCAGATGTGTTATTGAGGCATGGGAGCAGGTTAAGGGTATTTATTTTGTGTATTTTACATGTGGAACCTGCACTATTGCATTCAACCCCCAAAACTGAAGCAGGCACAGGAAAGGCAGGTCGAAGATTCCCACCCATTCTTCACATCAGTCCACAAAGTGGAACAGGAACCATGAGGAAAATACATACCCATAGACATATTCTGGTCTTATACAACCATATTCTTGTGTGTCACTAAATGACACAGGTCATGAGGTCTTACTGAAAGTTTAAAATTCTACAGGACATCATATTTTGGGTAGATATTAGAATCTAAAAGACATATTTGATATATATTATTGATATGTAGTATTGATTGCTTGCCACTCAAATATGACTGAATACCATTACTCAGCAACAATGAATACAATGGTGTGGGAAAAAATAGAAGTCAAAAGTGGTAAAATTATTTGCATAATTATTACAAATATATAAAGGCTAATTGAATGAAATAATTCAATGCAGATAAACTGTGTTATTGTTCATCCTATTGCGAACACAAATTTTCCAGAGTGTAGGTGTTGTGTACAGTGCTTATGCTTACTTCTATATGACTATACATAAAATTAAACTTTGTATGTGAATAGGATCAAGCCATAAGGGGTAAATTACTGCTAGAAAAAATAGCCTTATAATAAAGAACATATCTTGTAATAAACCACAGCCTAGAGATGAACCCTAGCAGATGTGTATACCCCATCTCAAAACTAAATTAATTTGTAATGTTTTAACACTGAGGACTAAAAGCCACTACAGATCTTTCTGCTATATTCCTGGCATCTCTGGATCTATTGATCAGCCAGCATTTGGTCCTTTTGCACCCTCTTCCTCTTTTTTCTTTTCCTTGAAAAACTGGCTTCCCTGGAATTGGTGAAAGAACAGCATAACCTAGAACCTGCTATCTGATCCAAATACAGTTAGATCAAACTTTGTCTTGTTAACTAAGAATATGGTTGTATCTCCCAAGCTGTAATCAGATCAGAAAGTCCTCAGAGCTGAAAGGTGATTTAAGCAAGAAGTGGAGACCCCATCCAAAGACTAGATTCACTGAGTACAGTGGTGTACCAAGGGTCTCGGGTGCCTGGGGGTCAACGCTTACATTTGTGCCCCACCCCCTGTCACACCCCCTGCAGATGATGGCAGCAGCTCTGGTGGTGGGGGGATAGGGATTGGCAAGCACCGATTGGTTACCGCCTGCAGATGCAGCCAGCAGCGTTGTCAGTGACCAATCTCAGGGGGCACCTGCACCTGCGTGCACCCCCTACAGTGGCCGATTGGAGGTGGGAGGGTGAAACTGGAAACTGGAAGTGCTTCCTGTGCTGCTGCCACCGCTTCCAGTTCTGCGGCCTGTCGGCACCTCCTCACAGCCCTGCACCCGCCCCAGCCCCACCTCTGCTATGCCAGTGGCTGAGTATATATTCTGTATGAGGTCTCTCCTGAGATTCTCCCGAGATTCATCCAAAATATTCTCTGCACATATATAACTATTCCATCAGGTTGAGTCAAGGCAGTAGAGAAAGCATCTGGACTGTCATTTATAATGGACTCCGACAAAGTTATTCCCCTGGCTATTGATGGACAATGGGAGGGAATATAATTAAAATAAACTCTGTTCTGTGGCTGGGCTGTAATCCACTAGATTAAGTCTTGTGGCAAAACTCCAACATTTTACCCACATGGATATTGTGCAGGTACCTGATAAAACTCTACAAATTGTAATATCTACCTGCTCTGAAAGGTGGGATGGGTGGAGCCCTCACAGGCCGTGTCCAGACAAGCGCAGCCGTGCAGTATGTGGTGCCGCAGGCACATCTGTTCTGCTACATAATGCATATTCAGCTGTTCTCCATGCTGCAAGGGAACAGTGCATGGATATCCAAGGGTCAAAAAATCCCATGCAAGAAGAAGTGGAGTGGCACACACAGGGGTAGTGTGTGCCACTCAAAATGGAGGCCCAGCTGGCCAGAGCCATTATCCAGCTGGCAGCTAGGCTCTGAGCAGCAGGTTTGCCACAGCTGCAGTCCCAGGAGGTCCCCAGTTAAGGCTGCTGGCCCCAGCCTCCCCTACCCCACGGAGGGTAATCTGCTGTGTGCCAGAGGGCACGTGGCACAGACACCCCCGGAGACAACCAGCAGTGGCACAAGGTGTCCTGTTGCTAGTTGTCCCCAGGCAAACAAACATCCATGCTCATGTGGACACAGCCACAGTGTGTATTGTAGCTGCGACAGTCAGCAGCAGCTCTCCCTAGTAGCAGGCTGGCTATTACTCTTATTTTCAATAACCTATATTACAGACTTCTGGATTCTGCTTCTCTGGCTTGTTTATCAAGATACAAATAACACAGATGTGGTGACCAGCACTGTGAAAAGATCATATTTCCCAATCAACACAACTATCCTGGCAAAACTCCCAGTAGAGAACAACACGCAACTATAGAACAGAGCTTTCCTTAGTTTACATCATGCCATTTATGTGGATAATATAGCAACAATCTATATATTATAAAATAAAAAGTTGCTTCCCCTTTTCCTCTGTCACATATAACAATGTACAGAACATATTTCCGCTTAGTAGGGTCAGGTTTCTCCACCCTTAAAGCAAAGATGTGCTTTATCTGGGGCAAGAGCATCAAAAAAGGCCCATATTTCCATATTTTTCTGTTAGAAGTTTGTCTTCCAGCTTTTGTTTTGCAAGTATACTTTGTTCAATGAGACATAATGTATTTTCATAAACTAAGACACTACTTCAGTAGCGTTTTAATACTGGCATCTTTATCTATGTCTTCCCCTCCAGATGTAAGATGCGGACCTCCACCTGAAGTTGTCAATGCGGATATTATACCTACTGACAATGAAATGTTTCCGCCAGGAACCAGAGTGCAGTATAAATGTCACAGAGGCTTCCGGAGTGTGGGATTAAGTCAGGTCATTTGTGAAAACAGAGTGTGGTCACAACCGCCAACTTGCCAAGGTAGGAGTTAGTGTTTTTAGACATGGTGAGGATGGGGATACATGTTAAGATTTTCCCTTTGTTGTGATCTTCCCTCATGCACAGCTAAGTTCAGCCCCACAAGGAGGGCTGAGCACAAGAAAGGTTGTGAGGGAGGGTATCAAAGACTCCATCCATTCTCCACCAGAACAGAAATGTCCACCAGAATGGAATAGGAAAATTTTGGAAATACTGTATGGTGGGATATAATTAAATGACACAGCTCATGAACCCTTACTGAAGGGTTAAAAATTGTCATGACGACATATTCTGGGTAGGCATTGGCATCAAATAGGGCTATGCCCCTAATAAAATAATATTCATGTCCAGTTTCAATAAAAAAGCCAATAAAATCAATAAAAAGCACTTGGGGAAAAATTTGACTGGGTTATAGTTAATACTACCTCCCATCGGTGAGTTTGTCTGATTTTAGTAAAAAGCATTATGGTTCTTTATGGTAAAATCAGGATGCTTGTCCTTAGAGTCTTCAAGATTTAGATCATGATTTAGGCCATAGATGCATGAAGAGAGTAAACTGTGAGAACTGAAACAGGAGTTTAAACCTGGAACAAATCTTACAGTTGCAGTTGCATTCAGTTGACCAGGCTTTGTTTGCTTGCCATGAGCAAGAGCAGACTAAGAGAGAGACCAGCCCACACACTGCTGCATTCTAGGATAATCATTTTCCAGGTTCTATGCTCACTTTTAGTATACTTGCAGCTTTTCTTCAATTAAGCCAAGTAGTCGTTCTCCCCACAGTAGCTTGTACTATCTCACATATAGTTACTCTGTATGCTTTCTGACCTCCGCTGTTCTGGATTTCTGACAACCATATATCACCTCCCACCTTAAAATCTGGTGTACAACCAGATACTGCCCTTTCTGTGTTTGTCCTAGATTGTTCAGGGAAAGAACTTGGGGCTTTGAAAGGCAAGCCTATCCTTCATTTTTCTACAGTTACCGAACCTGATAACAGTAAGGCTGACTCTCAGCCACTGAACACATGCACAGATTCTAGACCTCTTTATGGCCTTCTGTTGCCTGGGAAACATGACATATAATGAAAAATTGAAAGAATTAGGATGATTTAGTATAGGGAAGAAAAGACTGAGAGAAAGTTTGATAACACACTTCAAAGCCCTTAAGGTGCTGAGGCAATTAGCAGAGGTCATTGCGGGACCTGGCTTTATGAGCACTCATGGTGCTCTGGCATTGTGCCAGAGGACTGGAAAAGGGCCAATGTGGTTCCCATTTTCAAAAAAGGGAGGAAGGAGGACCCAGGAAACTATAGGCTTTTAGTCTTACCTTGGTCCTGGGTAAGCTTTCTGGGAGAATTATCCTGGAGCATGTCTGCGAGGGGCCAGCAGGGGAAGATTATGCTTAGGGGCAACCAACATGGGTTCGTTAGAGGCAGGTCCTGTCAGACCAACCTGGTGGCCTTCTAGGACCAGGTCACAAAATCCTTGGATGCAGGTGTCACGATGGACATAGTCTTTCTGGACTTTAGGAAGGCCTTCGACACTGTCTCTCACCCCATTCTCATTAAAAAACTAGGAGACTATGGCGTCGATACCTACACAGTCAGATGGGTCACTAATTGGCTGGAGGGCTGCACCCAGAGTCTGGTGGTGGATGGATCTTATTCGACCTGGAGGGATGTGGGCAGTGGGGTTCCACAGGGCTCAGTCCTCGGGCCCACAGTGTTCAACATCTTCATGAGCAATTTGGACGAGGGGGTAAAAAGCACCCTGTTCAAATTCACAGATGACACTAAGATGTGAGGAGAAGTCGGCATGCAAAAAGGGAGGAATAGGCTGCAATTGGACCTGAACAGGTTACAGGGGTGGGTGGATAAGAACAGGATGGGTTTTAACACTGACAAGTGCAAAGTACTGCACCTGGGGAGGAAGAACCAGAGAATATCTACAGGCTGGGGAACTCCCTTCTCATCAGTGCAGAGGCAGAAAAGGATCTTGGAGTCATTATTGATGCCAAAACGAACATGGACCAACAGTGTGGGGACACGGTCAGGAAGGCCAACTGTACCTTGTCATGCATCCACAAATGCATCTCAAGCAGGTCCAAGGAGGTGATCCTCCCCCTCTATGTGACACTGGTCAGGCTGCAATTGGAGTACTGCATCCAGTTCTGGGTGTCGCACTTCAGGAGGGAAGTGGACAACATGGAGAGGGTCCAGAGGAGGGCCACTCGCATGATCAGGGGACAGCAGGGCAGGCCCTGCAAGGAGAAGCTACGAGACCTGAACCTGTTCAGCCTCCACAAGAGAAGGCTGAGTGGGGATCTAGTAGCCATTTACAAACTTGTCAGGGCAGACCAGCAGGCATTGGGAGAGTCCCTGTTTCTCCGAGCACTACCAGGAGTGAGAAATAATGGTCACAAGCTGGCAGAGGGCAGATTCAGTCTAGATCTCAGGAGGCACTACTTCACAGTCAGGGTGGCTAGGATCTGGAACCAACTTCCAAGAGAAGTGGTGCTGGCTCCTACCCTGGGGGTCTTCAAAAGGAGGCTGGATGAACACCTTGTCAGGGTTGTTTGACCCCAGTACTCATTCCGGCCATGGCAGGGGGTCGGACTTGATCTACTCAGGTCCCTTCTGACCATACCAACTATGAAACTATGAAATGATGAAATACCAGACAGATAATTATAAAAAGGATAGAGACAGACTTTGTGACTGTTGGGCCTAACAGCAATGGCCTCAAGAGTCAGCAGAGGAAATTTAGGTTGGAGATTAAAAAGACATTTCTCTCAACAAGGGTATGTAATCATTGAAACAAGCTATCTAGAGAAGCTATGGACTCTGCATCCCGGGAAATTTTCAAGAGCTGGGTTGGACAGACACCTGTCTGAGATGGTTTAGTCAGGGATTATACAGCCTTGATCAGTGGTCTGGACTAGATGACTGTAACAGGTTCCTGGTCCCAGTAGTGGCTGTGATGCTTGCTGGTGGCCATGTTTACTCTGGGTGGCTGTGATGCCCACTGGTGGCCATCCTTACTCTGGCTACCTGGGTTCCCCCCTCCATTTTTCCCCCCACGTGCCATGCCTTAATGTAGATATTTAATTGGGAAAGAGAGGCTGTCCAGGATCCCCACTGCAAGCCCTTGTCTACAGAGTCTATGGTCTCGCATAGTTATTACCTTAAGAGCTAGATTTGTGGCCTCTGATCTGCCCTGTAGTCATGCTCTTGTCTCACAGAAGTTACCATTCCATCACACGCTTGTTGGGATGTCGGCCTTCTCACCCTCTGCCCCTTTTCACTTGCTGGGCCATCTAGCTCAGGTCCACTGTGCCGGACTCAGCTTCTGGACACCAACCTCTGCCTTGCTCTCCTGGGCTTTTATCTCTACCACTCCTGGGCTGTGGGCCCCGGCCCTAGACTCTGACCCTCTTTGGACTGTGGGGTCTCTAGTCCCATCTCTGCCCTGGCTCCAGGCTGCAGGTCTCTAAATCTTGCTTCACCTCACCCTGGTGCTGGGCACCCAGCCCTGAGACTTGCCCTCTCAGGTTACACAACAGCACGCACCCTGTTCCAGGAACCTCTCTGGCACTCTAGGACCTCATTTCATCCCTAAGAGTCCAGACCCCAAACCTCCAGTATAAACTATAGCAAAACCTAAGCCCGCTCACTATAACGTAAACTAGCCCTATCAGGGGTTCAAACCCGGGTCACTGGCTGCTCCACCAGGCTTCCCCCTACCCTGTGCTGTATTCCATGCAAGTGGGCAAAATCCTGCCTCCATTACTCCCAGGGTCATCCAGAGGTTTCCCTATGATCCTGCCCCAGAGATCTTTCTTCAGCACCATCTAGGCCAGACTGACTTCCCAGGCTCACCCACAGTTTTTATATGCTCCCTAAGCCATGCCTCCTTCTGGTCAGGTGATGCAGCAGCCACACACAGTGGCATTCATTCTGAGCCTAGTGATCTCCCTGCCTTCCCTTGCTGCTGCTTAGTTGCTAGTTTCTGGCTAACACTCTGTTATCTGTTGGTTTGAACTTTTAACTGCTAGCCCCTGACTGGCTGCAGATGTGCCCTTTTCCTTGATGGGCAGCTTACTGTCTAGGCAGCAGTATTTTATAGCTGCGTTCCCTCTAACAGCTGACCCCCGATTAGCTGCTTGGCTCTAGCTGCTGCAGTTTCTTCACTTAAAGAAATAGGAGCTCTAAGCTCCCTGTTGCAATGACCAGTGGCTTCCCTTCCAGCCCTACATCCCTATGGTCCTTTGGCCTGAAAAATCTTCTTAGGATCTGGGCAAGGAAAACAGCAGAACCATGGATGTATTACATTGCAAATAGCCCAGGCAGCAGTGAGAGGCCTGTAGCAAGGTGAAGGCCCTAAAACTTGCCTGGTAAATAGCAAAAGAAACCTTAACTGCTGCTCAGGAGTTGTCCATGCTGCAGCTTCTTCATATGATCAGTTCTGTCCTGTTAGGGGATGCCAGGATATAGGGAAAACCTGGCCAACAACGTAGCCAGCAGTACAAAGCCTTGCATGGTCAAAAGACATTTTGAAGAACAAGGGCCTCCTCACCATCTATGAACCCTCATTTTTCTATGCATCCCAAGGGGAAGACTCAAGGTCCCCTTCATCACCATCTCCAAATAGCTTACAGCCCTCAGTGTTATTCCAGTCACCACTAAAATTGTAGAAGATAACTCTATGTCTATGCATTTTTTCAGTTCACTGTTAAGCTCATGCCAGCTGTATCACTGGTGGATGGGAATGAATCCTCCTTTTGCAGAATGTTTTTCCTTCCCTTACTCTTGTAACAATGGAGATGCCCAAGATTCACATGCAGAGGCTGCCAATCCCACCTCTCCTCTTTCCAAATGCTCCCGTCCCTGGAAGGGCCACCCACTTCAGTATATTACAGGGTTGCTAGCAGGCTCAGCAGGTGGGTAAGATTGAAACCAGGATTCTTGCCAGCAGACTGCTCCTATTAACTGTGATTCTTTTCAATCTGGTCCAGCAACCATGGAGAAGTAGCCTTTCCTAGGCAGCTGATTACTCAGACTGAGGGAACATGTGATGTCCTGATCTTGAGGCCAAACTCGGTCCTGAATGTTATAGGCTCTTCCAAAAGCAAGACCAGAGCAGGTGTTCCATACTCTGTGTTTGCCCACTTTGTCTATGTCATTAGAATAGCCCCATTTTCACCTTATCTTTTCTCCTGACAACTCTTGTTTGAATTGTTTCTGAACATCTTTAGGTTATCCAGACTATTTCTGAGCCTGCAGATAGGTGTTTGGCAATACTAATATTTACTCATTCATCGTGTTGTGGTACAACCACATTTCCATTTAGACAGCTACCAATGTTTTCTTTTTTAAGTGGTTCTCTTACAACACGGATGCTTTTTCATTATCTCAGCTGCAGTTTGTCCATACAGTGGACAAACAGCATGTCTTCAGTCTTTCACATGCATATTATCTTCATTGCAACTATTCTCCTAATGTCCATGCTGCAATCCCAGCCCCAACTTCCCACAGCCTCTGCCCCTCCTCCCACTCCCTCCAGTCTCTGCCTCTTTCCTCCCCCTCCTCCCCTAGCCTCTGCCTCTTCCCTACAAACCCCCTCGGTCTCTGCTCCTTTTCCACCCCCCCCCCCAGAACACAGCATGTAGAAGCTCAGCCTCTGCTTGTCCAGGCAGCAGTGCTGCAGCTCCTGGTGGCTGGGCAGATAAAGCAGCAGTGTTGGAGCTGCTGATTGGCCAGGCAGGGAGAGGAATGTCCCTGGGCTCCATGCCCATCCGAGATTCCAGCCATACTGTACCTGATAGTAAGGGAAAGGGAAGTGGTGGGCAGGGGGCAGAAGCTGCAGAGGAGAAGTGGAGGTCGGGGGAGGAGGCTGCTGTGAATCTGACTCTAGCCCTGACCTGGGCTTAGAGCTAGTCAGATCCGCAGTAGCTGCCTGTTCTTCTTTCTGTTCTGTATGCAAATATAAGCCAAGAGGCTTTTCTCCATATGCTGACTGGTGGGGTGCAGGGCGGATCTCATATTCGAGTAAATATGCCATATAGTCACTGAAATATATTGCAAGAAAGGAATATGGTCCATAACATCTTTGGTCCACATTTCATAGTATCATAGAAAATGAGGTTTAGAAGGGACCTTGGGAGGTCATCCAGTCCAACCTCCTGCTCAAAGCAGGACCACCCCGAACTAGATCATTCCAGCTGAAGCTTTGTCTAGCTGAGTCTTAAAAACCTCCAAGGATGGAGATTCTAGTAGGAAACTTCTTCCTAATATCTAACCTAAACATCCCTTGCTGCATCTTAAGACTGTTGTGCCTTGTTCTGTCATCTGCCACCACAGAGAACAATCTAGCTCCATCCTCTTTCGTTCACTATTTCAGGTAGTTGAAAGCTTCTATTAATTCCCCTCTCAGTCTCATCTTCTCTAGACTAAATTAGTCCAGTTCCCTCAGTCTTTCCTCATAAGTCATGTGCCCCAGTGCCCTCACCATTTTTGTTGCCCTCCACTGGACTCTCTCTAATTTTTCTACATCCTTTCTGTAGCGGGGGGGGGGGGGTGGGGGGTCAAAACTGAACAGTCCTTGACTTACAACTTTTTGAGTTACAGCAAATGGTACTTATGACCTTTATAAATTCACACCCTGTTTCAAGGTTCTGACACAGGTCCCAGCTGGTAAGTCTGGTGTGGTAGAAGGGGAGGGAGGAGGAAAGGGGCATGGCAGGGGGCAGATCAATCCCCCTGCAGCAAGTGGGGCTGGAGCTGGGACAGGGGCTGGGCCAAGCACTGCCCAGCCAGGGCTGGGGTGGGACGGTGCCCACTGCTGCTCCCACAGCTGGTCCAGGAGGGCATGGAGGGGCATGTGCTCCCAGATCTGCGTGGGGCAGGGGAGGCTGAGGCTGCACCAGGCTGCACTCTGGGCTGGCAGAGGGAGCTATGGGGGGACTACGATGAATTTTTGGGTGGCTGCAGCCCACGCATACCCTCCGCTCTGCCGCCCACCCTGCCCCAATCTGGGGACACTCCCCCCATGCCCTGTTGCTGCCACTGCTCACCCAGTTGGGGTGGGGCGTTGGGGCGGGGCGGGGTGGGGAACAGGACGAAGCTGCAGCTCATCTAGGAGGCACAGGGAGGCTGGGGTAGATCCCGCCAGTGCACGCTTGGCTGGGTGAGCAGTGGGAGGGCATAGATCCCACTCCCAGCGCCTTCTGCTACTCGCCCAGAGTGCAGTACAACACAGGCCTGACCCTGCTCACCCCACACAGATCTGGAGGCCCATGCACCCACCCCCATGTCCTCCCAGACTGGCCGCGGGAGCAGCAGTGGGAGCTGCCACACAATCCTCCAAATGAGCAGCTCTTGGACCAGTGGTGTGGAGTGGCTGGGGGTGGGCCCCCCCCACCTCCCCACACTTCCTGCCTTCCCATGTGCCTTGCCTTGGTTGGGCAGTGCTTGCCCCAGCCCCAGCCCCAATCCCTCCCTCGCTGCAGGGGGCATTGATCTGCTTCCGCAAGCCCCTTCCCTTCCCCCCTTGCCCCCACCACAACAGACTTATCAGCTGGATGCAATTGTGTCAAGCATCGTAAAGGAACCAATCCCCCATTTATAACATTGTTCCTATGGGAAAATTGGTTCTGAGTTAAAATGTTTCAACTTACGATGCGGTTTTCGAGAAGGAACAAATTGCATCATAAGTCTGAGGACTGCCTGTACTCCAGATATGGCCTCAACAGTGCTGCATAGAAGGGAATAATCATTTCCCTTGACCTGCTGGCAACACACCTACCAATTCAGCCCAGTATGCCATTGGCCTTCCTGGCAACAAGGGCACATTGCTGGCTCGTATTAGGTTTATTCTCCACTGTAACTCCCAAGTCCTTTTCTGAAGAGCTGCTGCCCAGCCAGTCAGCCCCCAACCTGCACTGATGCATGGGATTATTATGTCCTGAGTGCAGGACTTTGCACTTGTCCTTGTTGAACCTCATGAGATTTCTTTTGTCCCATTTCCCCAATTTTTCTAGGTTACTCTGAATCCTAGCCCAACCTCCAGCATATCTACTATTCCCCACAGCTTGCTGCCATCTGAAAACTTGCTGAGGGTGCACTCTATGGCATCTACCAGGTTGTTAAGACATTGTACAAAACTGGCCCCAGGACTGGCCTCTGGGGCACTCCACTTGATAGTGGCTGGCAAACAGAAATTTTAGAAACATTGCTGTTGGCAAACACCAGGCTGGGATTGTCATGCCATTTGCATATACCTGTATTAACAGTTAGAAAGGTTTAGGCTCAGCCTCAGGGGGTTTGGATCTACCCATACTTCAGCCAGTTCGCTGTTGTGAACTGGGAACCAAATTGATTTGTCCAAGTCTAAGTTTCCCTAGATCTGGAGAGTTGTCATGCTCACATTTTATTCTTATTTCTGACAGCTTAAGTTTCCATGAAGAATCCTATCTCAGTAGACAGGCCTAAGCCTCCTTTATACTACAAAAGATAAACCTTGATATTACATGTTTTAAGTTATGTGTTACCTGTTACATCTATGAAAACCTAAACTCCCTAAGACTATGTAACACTTACTTTCTGTAACAGTGTAAAGTGTTGCTTTGGGAATTATCATTTTTTCTCTTAAACTCCTACTGATATATAGTTGTAGCCATCATTATTTTGCCTTTGCATTGCATCCTAACTCAAGGAATTTCACAGTCGATAGTTGTGTTGCCCCTCTGCAATGAAAAACCTTCTGATAGGTAGGATTGGTTAAATGAATGAAAGCCTGAAGAGGATTTTCACACCTTTCAACCCATAAATTGACCATTTAAATTGAAGTTCTTTTTGTATGTGTTTCAGTGTTTGTAAGGGTCCCTGAATCTCTTTTCAGATGCGACATGTGGCTCTCCACCTGCTATTGTTGATGGCTGGATTGCAGATACAAAGAGGGAACGGTATTTTCCTGAAGAGATCATTCGTTATCGGTGCCAGCCAGGTCAGACCCTAACCGGACCTGCAAGAATAGTATGTAAGGAAGGAAACTGGTCACCACGAGGAACACCAGAATGCAACGGTATTTTATTTTCCTGTTTTTTAAAATTGCCTGCTAGTGAGGATATTGTTGGAATTAAAAAAGCATCTCCCTCAATCACATTTACTTCACCATATCTCTGTTTTGTTATCATCCACAGGCTTCAGGTAGTTGGTTTTCCATGCTTGTAAGTGATGTTTAAAGTCTTTGAATTCTACTGTATTCTCAGTGTTAGATTGAAGAGGAGTGTACTAGAGGGAAAGACCTCACATTGACCCATATGACTGTGAAGTTTAATGCAGACAAAGGCAATGTGCTACACCTCAGGAAGAATAATAAAAAACACAGATACAACCTGGGTGTTACCTGGCTAGACGATAGGCTCCATAGAAAAGGATCTCAGAGCCTAGATCACAGACTTAATATGATTCTGTAGTGTGATGCAGCTGAACAACAGGC